TGAGTTTTCCGCGCTCTCTCACCCCATTGAGCCGCATTGAGTCGCATTGAGTCGCATTGAGCCGCGAACGTCCTGATCTTTGAAAGCTGTATGACTAAAAAGAAAAAGGCGACTCCGCCGAAGACCATTTCCGAGATTGCGGCTCGAGTCCAAAAATCCGCCAAGCAGAGCGATAGCACACCAGTTAGAACACTGTACACACATCAGGAAACCAGTGACGAGGGCAGCGAACCCTCAGCGTCGCCACAGGCAGAGGACACAGCCTTGGGTGACACAATGGATCAAACGACTATGCTGAAGAGCGTATACCAAAAGATCCATCACCACGATGCACTCCCAGCAATCATGGGCAAGCTATCGCTTCTGGAACAAGCCACTAAAGTCACCGAGGACCTGGCAGCAAGGCTTACCGTGCTGGAAGAACGGATGAACAGCGGCTCCGCAGCAGGATTCTCCGGACGTTACGAGGCCACGAGTGACATCGGAGCGATCAACGAGGATAAAGTTCCGGCACGGGTACCGGTGAAGCTGTTGGAGGAGAAGCGGCTCCCAGCGGTGCTGCAGGAGCTGGTACAGCAGCACAGGAACGGGGCTAGCTATGCGCTGGACATCCTCCCGTGGCTCGCGAAGCCCGGGGCGAATGCTGGATCCGCGGCGGGGCCATCACAGGCGCCGGCTGCGAACGGTGCAGCTTCCGGCGCGCAGCGAAATCGGGGCGGTACTGAGGAACCGACGGCCTTGGTGGACATCTTGATTAACCCCAGAGTTCGAAAATCCTTCGTAACCTTGGGGAAGATCGCCCGTGAGCGGTATGGAATCACCCTGATGGACTCACTCACGAAGTCTGGAAAACAGTTGCGACAGCAGCGGATGGCAACATTCATCCACCTACGCAACACGGGCGCCCAACCCAGGTGGGAACGCGGTGTCGACATCACGGTCATGGACGGACAACGCAGGGTCCCGTTTCAGGGACCTTGGGTTGACAGCCAGCCGGCTGGTGCAGAAGTGGGCGGGGCGGCCGGACAGACCCCAAGGGGTGCTGCTGCGGGCAAGGCTTAGGGGGTCTCGAGCCAAGAGGTTCGTAAGATTAGGTTCTGTCAGTGGACATTGGAGGACTGTCTGACTGGAAACTTTACTGCGATGAGTTTCGTACATTAATCAAGGCGTATGATGTTGTCGTTATTACAGAAACGCACAGGGTGGGGTTGGGATACCTCAAGGACGTTATACCTAATGGATCTAAGGTGTTTACAGCTGGGGGTGAAAAGAATCGCGGGGGCGTCTGTGTATGGGTGAGGGAAAAATTTGCTAAAGCAGTCCACTTATCAGGCATCTCAACAGTGCCACGTGGGATGGACAGCGTTTGGCTGCGAATCAAGGGAAGCGTTTTAGGGCTAAAAGGAAACGGGTTATTGATTGGAGCATGCTATGCGGCCCCGGAGTGCTCCACGGTTTATAACACGGTACCGGGGCACAAGATGTCGGCTTCGTTGATGGCTAAGCGTGTCACCTGCCGACTCCAAACCCTGGTGAAACGCTTTGCTAAGCCAGGGGATGAGGTTGTTCTCATGGGTGATATGAACGCTAGGGTGGGACGATTGCGGGAATCGCCTGATCTCCAGTATGAAGATGATCAAGAGGAGCTTTTGGGTTTTCAGGTGAATAACGCGGAGCTTTACAGGGGTGTTCCGGACAGGCGATCTCAGGACGCAGGCACTAACCAATTTGGCAAGGCATTCGTGGCCATGTGTCGGGAAATGGAGATGATTGTTCTTAATGGGCGTGTTGCGGGCGATTTGGAAGGCAGCTTAACATTTCATCATAGAGCGCGAGAGTCGGGTAGCTTGATTGATATTTTCTTTGCCACGGCACGTTTGTACGCATACTGCAGTGGGCTGCGGGTGTTGGGAATTCCTGTAGCAGATTTTGGTCCAGGAGTGGGACGGTTGATGAGTGATCACTGCCCAGTTGCATTAGATCTTGATATTGGTGTATCACAGCAGAAAGGCAGGGCAGCTGCGGGGCTTCAATTTGACATGGACAGAGTTGAGCAATACATGCATTGCTTTGAGACAGACGATGTTGCCTCTATCCAACGGATTGCAGAAGCCACCGCCCAGTTAGGAGGGGAGTATACGAGTACCCAGGTAATAGAGATTATCCTCAACACCTTGTCGGACGTGATAAAAAAAGTGGGTAGGATTCCTAGGCGTGCAGCCTCGGCTGTGAAGAAGACCTCTGATGCCCCCTGGTGGACAGAGGAATGTGCTGCAGCGCGAAATGCTATGCTGGCTCAGAAGGCTGAGATGCGGACAAACGCTATGCTGGATCACCCTGAGGAGCGGAGCAGATTCAGCAGGTTGCGTACTCGGTATCAACGGCTGCGGCGCGAAGCTATGGAAGCGTACAGGGTAAAGCGGTATGAGACCTTCCTCAAGGAATGTTGCGGAGACCCGAGGGCCCTATGGAAGCGCATAAATGGAAAAGCCCGGATGGGTTGCCCCATTAGTGACGTGACCAGCTGGAAGGAGTATTTCGATGCTCTGTACAACGGAGACACGAACACTTACAAGGAAGCTCATGCGGACATCATCCTGAGTGCCATCAATGGTGCGGTGCGAGGTGAGGGTCGAGGTTGGATGCATGGTAACGGGCAGAGGGAAGCGCGTATGGCCAAGGCGACAGCTTTGGACAAGCCCTTCATTTTGGAAGAGGTCATATCCGCAATGCAAGCACTACGTAACAATAAGTCGGGCGGTGTAGATGGTGTTCCGGCAGAGGCCTTTAAATACGCTCAACGTGTAGTTGGCGAAGATAAGAAGGTTGAGTTTGTCCTTGCTCCGTACCTACTGAAGCTGATGGAGCACATCCGCAGCACAGGAGACTACCCGCACCAGTTTGAAATCTCGTCACTGACACCCATTCACAAAAAAGGGGAAGTTCAGGACATGGGCAATTACAGGGGATTAGCTGTGGGACGCTATCTAAACTGTACGCCACGCTTCTGGAGCGGAGGATTAACGCTTGGGGAGAAGCGTCAGGTGCGCGTTCACCCTTTCAGGGAGGATTTCGCAAAAATCGAGGTACGTGCCACAATCTGTTTGTTTTGAGGCATCTGACGGACAAGGCTAAGTGGGTGGGTGGCAAACCGCTCTTTGTGTGTCAAGTTGACTTTGAAAAAGCTTTCGACAAAGTTCCAAGAGAATTGCTTTGGCTCAGGTTGGAAGAAAGAGGTGTGACAGGTGCCACTTTGGAGGCACTGAAGGCCTGTTATAGGCGTGTGGAGCTCAAGGTTAACGTGGACGGGGTTCTAGGAGATTCGTTTTTCTCGTTTCAGGGAGTTAAGCAGGGATGTCCTTTAAGTCCTACACTCTACGGCATATTTGGGGAAGGGTTTGCGGATTATGTAGAAGCTAAGGACAGGCTTGCACCAGATGCTATGGCTGCTTCTGATTGCCCCATGAGCGACAGAATGCGTATCCCTTTGCTGTTGTATGCAGACGACCATAGTCTCTTTGCTGGGTCGCACAGGCGATTAATGGCACTGTTGCGTGCGCTAAGGGAATGGTGCGAAGCTTTTGGCATGAGAGTAAATGTGGGAAAGTGTGAGGTATTGTATTTTCATCGGGACCTGGAGGCACGCAAGGCTATGCACGTTTTGGGTTCGTACGGGCTTGTTACCATGAGTGTGAAGGAGGCTACGGGACACACGCTCAAGAGTTTACCTTGGAAGGAGCGCGCACGATATTTGGGCCTGCATTATGGACCGGGTACAACTTTCGAATCGTGCACAGATGAGTTGTTTACATCAGGCCAGAAGGCGCTCTTCTCGCTGGTTAGTAAGCTTAAGCGACAAGGGCTTTTTGTCCCAGCTGTTGCGGTGAAAGCGTTTGATGCCCAGGTTCTGTCTATTCTGTCGTACAGGGTACAGGTTTGGGGCCCGTTAAGGGTTCTGGACATCCTGGAGCGCGGTTACCCTAACAGCCAGGAACCATGATCGTGTTATTTTGAGATTGCACTGCAGGACAGGATGGTGGAACTGCAGAAGAACTTCCTGAAGCAGTTGAGTGGTGCTGGCTTGCCAACAAATCGGCTACTATTCAGAGAGTTGGGTCAATACCCTTTGCAAGTGCATTGGGCAAACCTGATTTTTCGTTTTTGGAACAGGTTGGTTGAGGCAAAAGGTTCTGTGTACCACCATTGCTTTCGGGAGGAACTGCGGTTGGCATTATCATCTGGCATGACGTATGATGGATGGGGAGCGAAAGTCCTGAAGATCCTTGAGTTGATGGGTCATAACGTGCGGACGGGTGTGGACGACTCAGGCGACATTGAGGTCAAAGTTGATGCTCTGGCGACACGTTCACTAGATGTAGGGCAGTTGATCTGTGAACTTCGGAGCCGATTTGATGATGACTGGGAAAGTGAGCGGTTGACAGTGGATCCAGCTTTGTTTGTTCAGATAATAGGCAACCAGGGGTAAAGATGTGCCGCTATAAGCATTGGATGGGTTTGCCCAAGCATGGCAGCGGCTATATCTCGCCAAACAGTACGTCACGCTGATGCGTTTCAGGATGTGTGTTTGGCCTTTGGCGGTTAATCGACCGCACGGTAGGGAACGGTCTGCCCGGTGGTGCCGGGTCTGTGGGAACCGGCAAGCTGTTGAAGATGAATGTCATGTGCTGCTAGATTGTCCTGCGTATGCGAATATCCGTTTGAAGCTTTGGGACCTGGGGGTTACTCCTGGGGACCGCATGATCGAGATTATGGGCGTCAAGGATCAACGCGGGTTAGCGCGCGTCTTGGACGACATTAGAAGATGCAGGTTGCAGTACGTTGAAGATTAATCAATCTGTTATTGTTGGGTATTGGCATTTTTCTTTTTTGAGTTCCTGTTTCCAGTTTGGCGGTTCATGAGCCTTTTGGCTCGTCTGGACCGTACAAGCTTGAAGCTTGTAAACGTAAACAGTGAACAGTGAAACAGCTCGTGAAGCCTCAAGTGGGGTTCACCCACCAGTAAGGGTGCATTTCCAGTGCGGATTAAGGCCAGGGATTAACCCTCTGTCCTCCATCGATACTTGCACAAACGGCTAAGTTGTTGGCAAACTTACCTCGCCTTTTCAACCTTTGGTTCCCTCATGGAACAAAACTATGTGGTAAGCTCGTACCAAGGACTTCCGTGCCCTAATCCCTGGCCTTAATCCGCACTGGAAATGCACCCTAAGATTACTGGTCGGTGCAAAGTAACCGCCCGGTAAGGGTTACCGGTCGGTTACCGGGTCATTATCTCGAAACGTCGAACCCTACCGAAGCGACCAATGGGGTTATAGCTAACCAGTCGGTTACCGACCCTTTGTCGTTTAGAGTTTTTTCCCATAGGTCCTTACCCGTTATACTCCTTGCAGGCTTGCTAGTGTTTCTTAAGATCCATAGCAGGTCAGCAAGGGGGAAGGGGAGAGGGCCTTTAGGGGGGTTCCCCTCCTCAAAAGTCCCGCCATTTGGTGTGTGCGGGGTCACGGCTGAGCCAAATGCCTCATCTCTCTTGCCAGGCGACTCCTCGTTCAATTTGGAGAGCCTAAAGAAGGAAAAGAATAGCTTTGCCTCTGGATAAGGACATCATTGGAAAATCGTTGGAAGAAACAGGGACTCGTTACACATTGCTGCAGCTGCCATACAGCGGTTATCCTCGTTCGCAGTGCTAGGTGCTCTCCTCAGTACGGTACGCTGTGTCAAGACACTCGTCACAGACAGTGATAGCTAGTACCCATGTTAGTCTACCGGCCCAACGCATGTTCTGCGCCGATATAGCTCACCAGCGGCTCACCTTTGTACGCCAGGCGTTTGCGTCATATTCGCTGCTAGGTCGTCGAAGACACATTGTTCTAAACTTACTCCAGTACACTAAATTGCTAACGCGGTAAGACACCTGTTTTGGCAAAGCAACAACACAGAACGCTTTGTCCCTGCTGCGCCCAAATCACCGTAAAACTATGGCAGTAACGACCCACCAACTCCGCAAAAGAAGGTGCGCCCTTAAGTCTGCCAAAACTAGATAACCTTCTCGTAAAGCACCATATTCCACCCCAGGCCTCCTCCCCTTTCCCCAAGCCAAGCTGCTCCCCCTCTATACGCTTCCCTTTCCAAGGCCCCTTTCCCTCCCACACGCACACACAAGCTGCCTCCCTACATGCCTCATTCGTTCGAGGTTTGCTTGCAAGGCCAAGACAACACAAGAGCACAACCGCTGCTACCTTCGCCGCCGCTGCGGCTCCTGCTTGCCGCCTACACTGTTGGCTCATCCCTTATTTCCTCCCTGTCCTCCAGGCGGCGATCATCCTCAATCCTCGACCACCAACACCACCTCCCCGCGCTCGAGCGTGCGGATGTCCCGCTCAATCTCCGCCAGCTCCCGCTCCATCGCTTCCTTACGAATCTTTTTCATGGCCGTGTCCACTGTGAGTGACAGCCCCTGGTAGGCCGTGTTGACAGAGCCCCACTTGTTCTTGAGATGCCGGATCAGCTGCTGCCGGTCATCCGGTGACAGTTGGCTCACGTGCGCGTTGGCATCCTGCATGAGGAGAAACGACCGGAGCTTGAAGATTACCAAGACTGTAATTTGCAGGGTAAATTGGACAGCATGCAGATGACTTTGGAATGTCTGCACGGCGAACGGCTTGGTACGGGCTCTGCGTCTCACGCTACCTTTGTGCTGTCTTTTCGCAACCAAATGGAGCATCCCTTGGAGCTCTGTCTACGTGAGACGGGGTGATGAAGGCACGATGCACATCCTAGACCCTAGACTAGGTTGCCCGATCTGAGGTACGTACATGCATGCTGCCGTGTGACCCGTCGTATGCCATACGGCTCACAGTTTACGCGCCGTCCCTCTAAACGTAGTGTATACCCCTTTTCCTAATCCTTAGTAATACCAGGCGTACGGAAGCTTCCATACAGACGGCATGTAACACTGCAGTACCAGGGTAGGTAGCCGCGTATGTATTACGCAATAGGCTCCATCAACAACCCCCCCTTAAATTTCCAGTCTTTCAAGGCCACCAAGAGGGCTCCAGAAATCGCTGCGCTCAGGTGCTGTCTTACCGGCGCTTCTCGGACTCGGATGAACTGCGAGAATTGCTCCTTCTCCTTTGCTACCCGCTCCTTGTTGCGCTTCAAGTACAACGGCACTCTCCCGTAGTCTGGCTTCTGAGTCCATTGAAACTCTGGCTGGGGAACCTTGCCGGGCTTAGCAAGGATGACGTCCACCGCGTTCGATGTGATGAAGTTTTTGTTGCTGGTAAGCCCCATCTTTGGTACATCATCTTTGCTGGGAATAGGAGGCCGAACCTTTTGCTTTGGGTTCGTAGGTGGGCCGGCTGCAGGCAAATGCCATTCAAGGGGAAGTCAAGCCACGCGGCCCACAACGCTTAGAGCGTGGGAGCAACTGGCCATAGCTTTCTCATAACTTACGTGCTGGAAGCTTAGGCTCCTTCTCGTGTGGGTGAAGTCTTGCGGGGCCGTTGGTTCCATCGGGTCTCCCCATCGTTGCGTGTGGTTGGACTTTACTTTGCCCAAATTCGAACTGGGACGGGTGAGTCTTGCCCAGAAACTACGGATAAGTTGGGAAAGGACACGCGGACGTCACAAGATGGAGAAGCAATGTCGGTGCTTTGAAAAATGGGACTCAGCATTTCATCATAAGCCGTGCATATACACTGCAATATATGCACTGCGGCAGAGCCGCATATCTGAAGCTCAGCCAGCCGCGCTCACCTTCGAGTTGTGCATCGGCGGTCGCGACGGTATTTCTTGTGGGTTAGGTATCAGCGCATACACACTTTCTTCCTGCATCCTTCCTTGACTAGAGAATGAGTAGAGAATTTTTCTTGTTGATACTAAAGTGCCGGCACCTGTTGGTATGAGCACGATGTGAGAGACTTTTGCTTGGATAGGACGCGGACTTGTTCTTCAATTTCACAGAGATGGCAATAACGGATTCAGTAGCCCGTCAGCCTTTTCCACCGGCGATACTTCGAGTTTGCAGTACATGCAGTTTTCTGTTATGTTTTCACCACGCATGCCAAACAAAGAAAACAAGGAGCTTGCTAAGGCCGGGTTTAAAACGGATGCTTCTATTTAGCCGACAACTATGAAGTTCTTACGGCATTAATTTGAGACGCAGGGGTGCAAGCGCTATTGACCTGTGGTTTGTAAAGTTTGCCGACACCGCGGCTTGCAGCTGTAGTAATGATTAATCATTCCTAAACAATATTAACAGCACCAGTTACACGAAACGTGGCCGATGCCATGTTATCAAACAACAACGCGTCACCTGACTGACCAGCCTGATGCCCTTCGCAAAGGCAGGCTTTGCATCATCAATGGAAGTAGGACCAGTCTACGTCAGGTCTTAACCCACTGCAATAAAGCCTCATCCCTGATGTCCAAGAGTTTCCCCCACCTCCACGTGTCTTCTACGATGCAGACCCGGATGAAACAAAGCTATAGATGAATCACAAGTAGCATACCGGTCCGAATTTTTAACCAAGACTCGTGCCGCTCCCCTCCCTCCGAGATAACTACTTTCGGCCAGAAATGGCGACACTACTGCCGACTATTACTTAGGTGCACCACAAGACCTTTACCTGTAATACTGCGATGGCTGTCCACTACCGCCCGGTGCGAAGTCCTCCTCAGCAACTTCGACATGCCACAACAGTGGCCCGTTTGTGCAGGTGCTCCAAACTGCTCTGCCCCGACCATCCAACAATTACCAGCACCGCTACCACAGACACTGACTCAACACTGATGAGCAAACTGAATTACCAACATAGACCACGAGAGATGGACCCGATCAAAGAAGCTTGCAAGCCCCAGGCTTTACACCTCACGGCCTGGGCAGCAGAGTTACATGCACTTACTGTAGTTGTGAGGTGAAACCACGGGAAGCCGACGAGCCCTAAATGACATCCGAGTGGACAAAAACCTCAACACCCTCCCACCGCACCCATTCGCGCCTCAGACAGCCGCACAAATACTCCGAGACAGCAGGCCCAGCCAGCATGACACCAACGCCGGCGCCACCCACCCCTGCATACGTGGCCTATCGCGTCGCAAGCACGCTTTAGGGACGAGGACCCTAAAGGGGCCTGCCTGCTGTATAACAAAGGCACCCCTTGTGCCGCAACCACCACTTCCCTGACCCCTGCATTCACTCAATCTAATCGCGACGCGCCTCGACACTCAGCCCTTCTCCATATCGACTCTCAAATCCTGTATCACCCACATGCCCCACGCCTCGTCCGGAGAGGGACCAAGCCACCGACTACCATACTCCTCTCTAACATCCTACATATCTGCAACAACAGTTGCAACAGCACAGCCGTCCCTGAATACGAGTCATGCGCCAGCGGTGAAACTCCTTACCTCCTTAACTATGCCCTCTCGATGTATCCCTCCCTTTGCCTGGGCTTATCACCTATGTTCCCGAAACAGCCTCAGCACCGCGCGCCGCAGCTCCGGCCGCCTCGCAAACACACCGCGTACCGCAAACGTCGTTGTGCTGCCGCTGTGGTTCTCTACTCCGCGAGCAACCATGCACATGTGCGCGGCATCGCACACCACCATCACCCCACCACCACGCGACTCCGCCACCTCTCCGCACCCGCCCACTCGCCCAACCCCATCCACCTCCGAGAGCGGCTGCGACTGCGGTTGTTCCCAGTTTGAGCCGCATGTGCCTTCTACGGGCGTTGCGCAGCTGCCATAGCTGCCCAAGCTACCCACCGCTACCTCTGTCGCTGAAACCCCCGCCGCTGCCCGCAGCATTGCCTCCACAGCGTCAGCCACCTGGTGGGTAATCCGCTCCTGGACCTGCAGCCGCTGCGTGTACATCAAAACCGCCTGCTCCACCGCAGCGTGCGGGAGCACAGCAACAGCAGCAGCTTCTCCTTCTCTCTCTCCCGTCATCGTCTCTGATGCCGCTGCGGCCTGGGAAACTGGGAAGTACGCCACCATTATGTTCCCGTAGAATGGCAACATGTGGTGTTCACACTGCGAAGCAAACGGCAGGCGCAGCGTGATGGCTCCGCGCAGCGGCCCTGCCGCTGGCGGCAGAGCCGTCATCACCGCCGCCGCAGCCATTGGCTGGCCGTTGCACTGCGGTCGGCAGCAGGTGACGCGAACACAGCAGCCTGCTGGCGAGCTGCCCACTGCTGCACCCACAATGCCAGAGGTCCGTGCGCGATCCGATCCAAACCCTGTGCTACGATCCCACTTGCACGAAGCCGCTGGCAAAACCGCGTTGGCACTGCCCGCGCAACCCCCACGAGTACAACAGGATTCGTGTTCCGCCCCTCCCACTGAGTTGCTCACAGCAGGGCAACACCCCGCGATCACAGTCCCCGCCGCAGCAGCTATCCCGTTGACCGCGGCAACCCCTTTCTTGACTACTACGCCATTGCCGCCACAGCCGCCGCCACCAGCACCAGTCCTAGCCTGCGTGGTGTAACTGACAGCCTCGCACCCCGTCGGTGAGGACACTGCCGCCAAATCTGCAACGCCAGCGACATTCACCGTCCCGCCGCCTCCTCGTCCGTCCGCCTGCCGCTGCCCACAGAGAGTCCCATGCTGCTGCTGCACCTGCTTCTGACCCTGTGTGATCTGCGGTGGCGCTTGACGCAGCTGCGACGCCTCTCCTGCAGGGTACCTGGTTGCCACGCTTGGTTGCTGCATGTGGTAGCCGGAGGTGGATGCCAACAGCGACATGACGTAACGCTGCGCCGCACCAGCCAGCCCCGGTCGTGTCGGGTTCTCGCCCACCTCCACCAGCAGCTGCAGCACCGCCGCTTCCATCTCCTCGCAGGCACACGGCGCCAAGTCCAACGGCAGGTCGTCGCTGTCCCCGTCCGTGTCCTTCTCGCTGGGGTCGGGCGTGCCTGGCGCAGGAACACCTGGGTCGGCGGCTTGGGAAACTACGGCGGCACCAGCGCCTGCCGAAGCCGGTGATGACGTCATGTGGTTGTGGTGGTGGTGATGCGAGAGTGCCGCGTATGAGTGGCCGCAGCGGTCCAGAAAGCTAACGGCGGAGCTCGGCAGGTCCTCCAGGTCCAGCAGCGCCAGCAGCTCCTAATGAAGCAGCAGGAGAAGGGGTAAGATGCTAGGAAGGAAACAACATGAGGACATGGATGGATTAAGCTGCCACTTCCTGCTGACTGCGCTGACTGCTGGAAGAGAGACGGGGTCCGGATTTCGGAAGCCCAAGGAAGCTGGACGGGGAGCAGCGATGATGGCTCCCAACATCGTGCTGCTGGGACTTCAACGAGCATTCCACACCGTCGCAAAGGGAAATGGCTAGTACCGCCTATTGCGGGCTACAAGAAGCGGCATCTCAGCGTGACCCAAATCGCGCGGGGCGATTTTGGACCCGGGAACTCGTGGCGGTGGACTCATAGAAACACGTGCCAACCGCAAGGCACATGCGTGTGAATCGGAGTAATGCGTGTCACGCCTAGGACTGCAGCCCTAGCGTGAGTCTTTTCCTCACCTCAAGTTCCGCTGACGCCTTACTGGCAAACACGCCTGTAATGCACGCATTCGTGCGCTCTTCCGGTGGTGTATGGTTTGAGAGATGTCGCGCCTGCAACACGACGGCAACGCCGTGGCACTCCAGACTGTGCTGCAGCGCCAGCGCTATGGACGCCGCAAGTCGCTGCTGCGTTTGGAGTCGTTTGGCGTATTGCTTCGTGAGGCGCGCCAGCTTACTGAGCCCCAACACAACGCCGCCTTTAGGGCGATAGGCCACATGGCAGCGGCCATGGAAAGGTAGGAGCGTCTCCTCGCTGGTCGACGCAAAGTCAATATCCCGAACTACAACGATGCCCTCCCCGCCTTGATGCACAAGAGGCTCGTGGAAAAGCGCTGTGCCAAGAGTACTGTGGACATGGAAAGGGAAACTTTTGAGGATAAAACCAACCTCGGCCTGGCAACAAGCCAGGCATAGATAACGTAATGACATAAGAAATTCACAGCTAGAGAAACGTTTACATCTCCATAACGCCAGCAGCGCGCGGCTGCTCACAGCAAGCGACATCGGCTCCCGCTCTGTGATACACACCTTGACGTGTCCTGGTGATACCCTTGTGTACAGTCCAATAGCGCCTTCGCAACCCTCTGAATGACACAGCAGCGAGGGTTCTCTAGGTCAACTGTCAGCGGCACCTCTGAGAAAGCGACTGGCCAGCCGCCGAACTAGAACTGGTATGCCTGGCACCACACCTTTGGAGTATCACGCAGGCCTTCCCGATCAACATCCTCTCCAAGACCTTGTAATAATGTCCGAACTGCTTGCTCCATACGGGCTAGCTTATCGCGGTCACGCTGCAGGGGTGCCATATTTCTGCTATAACTGTTATTGCGAGATACAATTAAATGAATATTGCACAAATATAAATGCCATACATCGCGCAGTAGTAATTTGTATCTCCCATGTCCCTCTTCATGAGCGCACATGGCAAGATTACAGGTATTACCGGTATTGTAGCAAACGTGACCACGTTTAAAGTAGGACCAGTGACTCTGCATATGACTTTGAACCTGTTCACAATTGCTGCAATCCTACAAGCGTGTTTTGCCGAGGGTTATGGCGTCGTCTGGAGCTAGCCGCTGCGTGAACCGTCCAGCCATTTATGGGGTTTCTTACAGTTGCCCCACCCAATATATGTTAAATGTAAGAAACAAGATTTGCGTTTGCTCTCGCCGCGGCGAGGCCCTCTTGTGTCCCCTCAGCACGGCCATCCGACCTGTGCTGGACACGCGAACAAGGCACGTCGACTGGGGACTAAATTAGAACGCTGTGATCCAAATCAGCTTTTCAGATGTTCTGCGAAAAGCCGCATATCCGGTCGCCGACAGACGAGCAGTTGGCGTGTCCTGTCGCTAATACGCGCCGGAGCCCAGCGGACATGGTTGGCAATGCCTGGTATCCCGCTTCAAATCCACCAATTTCATTTAACTTGCATCACAGGGACCGTGCCCCTTGCTGCCCGCTGCAGCTTCGGCCTCACCGCCGCCGCAGTCGCTGTCAGCCCCGGTGCCGCTGCCACCGCCCCGCCGGCGGTGCATGCTGACCTTCTCCTCTCCGACATTCGCGTGGTACTCGTCGCTCCCAAGCACGAGGCCAACATCGGCGCTGTCGCACGTGCCTGTGCCAACTTCGAGTGCCTCAGCTTGTTTCTAGTCGCGCCACGTTGCGCCGTCGGCTCTGGCGGCGTCGGCGCCGGTGAGGCGCGCAAAGTGGCCTGCGGCGACGCCGTACTTGACCGCCTGGTGGTTACGGACACGCTGGCGGAGGCTCTGGCCGACACTGCTGGCAGCATCGGCTTTACGCGACGCGCAGGCGCAACCCGGGTAACGCACGCGTCGCTAGGGCACCTGCTGGCGGGGTTCCCCTGGGCGCTGCAGCGGCAGCCTCCGCAGCCTCCGCCGCCTCCGCCTGCGCAAATACTTTTAAGTACCTCCGTCGCACCCGTGGAACATGCACTCCCAGCAACCCCATCGTCATCCTCATGGGACACCCTTGAGCCGACATTTGCAGTACAACAGGTTCCAGATCCGGAATTGGAGCCGTCATTAGAGCCGTCATCGTTGCAGCAGCTGCTGTACCGCCAGCGACCGGATCCGCCTTTGTCGTCGACATCCCTAGTAGCAGCAGCAGCAGTAGTAGTAGTAGTAGGAGGAGGAGGATTGGACCTGGCAGATACCGACGGCAGCGGCAATGACAGCGGTGTGGCCCCACACCGGCCCCACGCTACGGCGCTCGTTTTCGGGCGGGAGGAGAGCGGTCTTTCGGAAGCGGAGCTGCGGCTGTGCAGGTGCCCAGGGTGGGCGGAGAGGGCTGTGGCCCGCGCCGCTTCCTGCTAGTGGGTATTACCTCAACAGCTGTAGCTCAGATGGGGCGATGCCTGCGAACTGTGCTGCGTTGCGAGGACGGAGGACGGCTGGCAAATGGCCGCCGAACGGACGGGTATCTGTCAGTTAGATCGGCCCTGGGACCCCGGAGCAGCGGAGGTCGAGGGGCCCCCAGCGGGGCATAGAGAGTGCATGGGGCGCTGGATTGTGTCGTACTTTTTCTTACGGCGGAAGCCAGGTTGATCGTCGTGGCCCGCGCTAAGAAATCCTTCTCCCCATCTCTCGCCATACGGCATGGTCATGGACCGACAAAAAATTGCCGCTATCAAGGCCACAAGGATAACGAGAGTCGCAAAATTCCTGATAGTGGTGGTGTGAATTCCGAGCGCTGGTGATGCCAGCTCCATGCGATCCGTTGAATATGGTCTAAGGAGGCGGGTCGGGATCCAAATCCAGGTTTTAATTTGCTGCGCAATTGTGACCTCTGCAGCATGTGACTCTTAACACTGCGTACATCTTGCCACTTCCTCCTACCGCTGGGGGACCCCACAGCCACGCATGCGCCATCCCCACGGGCCGCCTACAGCCCTCTATGAATCTGTCGCATGCGGTGGCGGTTGTGCTGGGGGAGATATTCAGCCGCCGATGTGGGCTGCTGGGCGTCACGTCGCCAGCGGAGGCTGCGCAGGCGGCGGCGGACTTAGACGCCGCCGGCAGTAGTGACGGGGGCACCGGCGGCCAGGTGGAACGATTCGCAGCCGATGGGCTGAGCTCGCCGGCTTCTGGGGTGGGGTCGTCGCCAGACGCCGTCGTCTCCTCCTCCTCCTCCTTCGGTAGTCACCCCATGGCGGCGACTGCGACGGCGGCGGCGGCACTGTCGGCGCGAGGACCGGGGCCTGTAGCACAAGTGAGTGGTGGCAGCAGCCTTGGCGCGTTGGATGCGGGACTACTGCCAGCGAGCGCACAGGAGGTAGATTTGCTGGTTCGGAAGGTGGCGGCGGTGGCGGAGGCTGTGGGCATCAGCGGTGAGGAGGGCAGCGGGGGCGGCGGCAGCGGAGGTGAGTTCTCGAATATGGCGCCTGGGTTTGGGCACCCAACGGATTGGAATGTGAGTAATTAGGACGGGACAGGAGGGGAGGGGGCCCTGTAACAGAAGAGGTTGGCGGTGCATCGCGGTGAGGGCGGTGGGTACTTGCTCTCTTGCGCCAGCTGTTGCATTGTGTGCCGTCTATATGCCTAAAGGCTATTTTCTGTAATCCGTTGAGGGGGTTGAGACCAGGGGGAAGGGGATCATTTGTACAATGCTCGGCGGTCGAATTTCTTTAGCTCCCTGGCTAGGTACAGGAAAGGGAGTTGGACGAGACGGGCGGGCGGTATGGTTCTAGCGTACGGCGAGCTCTTGGAAAGCGCAGCAGCGCGTCTTGAACCCTCAAGTCCTCAAGAACACTTGCTACTATTTTTTTGATTGCAGGCAACCATGGGCGGCGTCGGCTGCCGGTGGGCCACTTGCGTTCTGTGGTGTCTCGCGCACGGTTGAATGCAGCAGAGAGCCGCTCCCTGCATGGCCTGGCATCGGCAGTGCTGCAACGGCTAGACCCCAAACATCCTCTGGAAGCGCGCAAGATGCTCAGGAAGAAGCAGCAACAGCAACAGCAACAGCAGCAGGAACAGCAACAGCAGCAGCAACAACCCTAGCCAGCTGAGGTTTATTTGCGCACTTTGCTTGCTTATCTGTGCGATTGCTTATGTGACCGTCCATGGGCCCCCACGGGCTTTTACGGACGCCCCTCCGTTCACATTAGTGCGGAACTTGTAGTTTGTAACGGTGACTTCAATCTTCGTTCGCAAGTCTTCCGTTTATCCGGGAGGGTGCGCGCAGCTGCACCTTCGGTGAGATTTCCTAGTACTTTCCTGCAAAGCCACGCACAGCGCTAAGGCCACCTGGCGCTAAAACCCTAGCATGGCCGACGGGCGCCGTGGCGTGGCTTTATTGCTCACAGAAGCGCGTAGAATGTACGCGATTTGCTTTGTTTCGTTGCAAAACCTTCCTTATCGGTGCAGTCCTAATGCACTACTCGGTTCTAACGTTCTCGGGACGCCTTCCTCAAACTTCTAGTTTGTGACATTCCCAGAACTAGGCCCCAGGCATCAACGTTCACTTTGGCCTGGTTATCAAGGCTGAAATTAGTTGACTATCACGTCATCAGCATCTGCACACAAAGGCGTCGATACGCCAAGTCTGTGTATGTGGAGTAGGTATTTGGTGGGCTCGGCAATGAACGGATCTGTGTAAACGGCATGGCAGTGGTAGTGGATATACTTAGCTAAGCAAGAGTAGCTTTCTGGGTGTCCCTGGATAAGGAACAGAAGGGACACCGGATTTCGGATGCGAGTTTTACAGTGGACCCCGGGGAGACCTTCCGGCACGGCAATGCAGGGCAACAGCAATAAAAATAGTCTTGGGGTCTATCGGGCTTGGTGCGTACAGGTCTTAACATGTGCATATACGTGTAGTGAGTATCGGCTAGTAAATGCTCGGCAGAGCAACGCTTGGCGGCTAGTAATAAAAGCAGCTCTCAATAAACTGGGCACTCTGGTACCACGCTCGCTCGCCGTTACTGCACAACAATGGGCAGGTCGGAGCTTCACGATGTTGCTAGCGTTGAGCATAACTCAACCAGGTATACGAACAGACATCGCGTCAGCTGGGCATGCAAAGCACCGCAGGGAAAATAACCGTCATTACGTACGATTGTACGGCACGCCGTCAACGGCCAGATTGCGTCCATAACGTACACACGGAAGTATTCAACTGCTGGTGCTGTTGGCACCAATAAAAGCCACATTTTTTCACACAACCTGGGCAACCCAACACGGCAATCCAGGTAAGATTTAAATGCTTATCGACACAGGTATAAGGTACTCTGCTGTCTTCCACTAAGTATTCTCCGTACATTCTCCTGGAGCGCATTGCCCGGCTTCACCTCCACTAACCGAGGCGGGAGCCTCATGGGTATCGAGTGAGACCACAACTCAACAGAAGTAACCAAGCATATCAGGTTAAAAATATGAATGTTTTCCGTTCCGGATCCCTGTGGATCCTTGATAGGTGATTTCCCGAATAATCGCCGCTGAGGGCCGCCGACTACCCACGCCGACTCCCCACCCCAGGCCGTGTATCGTCTGCCCTGGTCGCGACCTACCTTGTCGGCATATATCATGACAAGCTTGGAGCTAACAACACATACAGAAACCGCCAGCGGGCAGTACGGGGTATGATTGCATGACGCAGGCCGAGTGCGCAAAGTCCTTGTTCACGTCAAACCTGCAATGACCTAGGAGTAGCCTAGATTCAACAAAATTAAAGCACGTGAGCCAACCACAGATATTACTTGGCCGACACGCATCTCTAAAGCCAAGGATCTACACTCTCGAAAAGGCTAAAAACCCGGATGCCCTGCTTAATTGCACTGGTGGTTTCGTAAAATAACCCCCTACCTGATCTTACTTAGCAGACACCTTGATACATAGAGGACCAAGAAGGGCCCTCGTCTCTCCACTCCTACGGCACACCAGCTCTCTCCTGCCGCCCACCGCACCGCTACTGTGACCTGCTGCCTGCCACATATCGACATATGGTCTGATACGGGCCCCCTGACAAATTAGGTAGCGCCACCGTTCTAGTCCCTGTCCCAATCGCGCCCCCGTTTCCCAGGTTTCAGTCGGTACCTTCAATAATCTGACCCTCTCACTTTTCAGGCTCAGAAGCGGTCCTTGCCATTGAAAGCGCTGATCCGTCTCTCCTCTAGGAACCTTGGCCTTAGCCCAAAGCCCGCAGGCCCCAGGCGCCCCTAGCCGTGCTTCAAATTCCATGAAACCGTCGTCTTCAGGTATCGCGGCTTCTTACCACTGCATGTGGCTGTGCCGTCGCTGCCGCTGCCGACACTTGACCGAGCCGACCCCGGCACGGGGGACGGGGTAGGCCGCACTCCACGTGCAGCCGTGGAACCGGGAACGGAGCCGGGCGTGACAATGGTGGCCTCCACCGCCGCCGTCACCGCACCAGCTCCCGATCGCCGTGAAGCGCTGCCCGGCCGTGTGACAGGGACAGAGCTACAGCTCGCGATGCTCACAGGGCCCGAGGGCAGCGCGCTCAGAGGAACCCCCTTGGCAGGGTTTCTAAACGACGTCTGCGGCGTTTGCGGCTCCCCGATCTGCGGCGTCTTAAGCAAGGGGCGCCGTCTGTGCGGCGCGGCTACCACACTTGGGCTTGGAGTGGAGCCCGTCCCATCGCCCATTTGGGCTTGCTCTTCTTCCCCCACCGCCGCCGCTGACATCATCAAGGCTGCCTGCAGCAGCGCACGCTGCGGAGGGGGCTGGAGTGCATTGCGGTTGCTGTCGCTGCCACCGCTGCCGCCGGGAGTGTCTCGGGTGAACAGCGCCGTCGACGGCAGCGGCAGGGTAGGACTGAAGTCAGGGGACGGCGCGAGCGGGTAGCACCCAACGGCGCTGCCCAACGGTAGCGCGGATCCTGGCGGAGGCGGCGTCACCGCGGCCGCTGCGGCACTCGGTGTAGCGGGACTGCGAGCCTTTCGGCACGGTGTACCCAACGTGACCTCGCCCTCCACGCCGCTCACCGCCCCTGCCCCACTCCGACCGCCGTGTAGCCAGGCAGGAACCCCCAAAGGGGAGCGTGCGGGAATCCGTTGCATGGCAACTCCGCCACCACCACCACCATCGTTGCCAGCACGCCGAGGCGGCGTATCGAAGGACCAGCCATCCTCGGCTACTACCACTGCAGCAGCAGCAGCGGTCCCGTCCTTCCCAGGGCTATGCGGCGTGCTTCCCGTTGACGGGGTACCGGAGCCCCACTCCATTTCACCCTCGTCACGCAGAGGCGTGGCGCAACCCGTTGACACGTCCCGTGCTGGTCCGAACAGCGCGCGCGGCCGCGGAGAAGCCGCCGCCACCGCAGCAACAGCAGCAGTTGCAGACGGCGGGGGCGGTGCCAGGCTAAACGCGGCAAGTGGAGCTGAAGCGGCAGACCACGGTGAAGATTCACCCGACGGATCGCGCGTACCTGTCCAAGCGATTGCGTCCGTGGGCGTTCCATCCGGCGCAACTTTCCTTTCGCCGAGCTCGTCAAAACCGCGCGGCTCACCCCTAAATGATTGTGGACAGGCCCCGAGGCTACCGAAAGCCGTAGCTGGAGTAGAGGATGGCGGGGAAGGAGAACCGCCATCGCGACTTCGGTTGTGTGCAGCGGTGGGAATGTCACAACGGAATGCCTCCTGCTGCTCCTGTGGAGGTTGCGCCGTGGCATCAGGCCCGGCATGGCATGGCGGGATTTGGGGAAGACATGTATCCTCGTTATCCTCGTCTGAGTCAAAGCCGACTGCACTGAGCAGCGTGCCGGATCTGCGCTTGCAGATACTGGACCTGCGGAGGCACTGATGCGGCCCGCCGGTGAGAGGGGGCGAAGACGGGTGCGAGCTGCATGCGGCGTCACAGCTGCTGCCTCTGCCGCGGCTGCTGACGGCAGCAGCGGGCTGTACGGTTGAGATAACCGCAACCCCGTCGGGTGGAGAGGCTGCCCTCAGCGAAAGGGGAGACCATGAGCAGGCTCTGCCGATGCTTTTAGTCGGTGAGCGGGGACCGGCGACGCAGGGCGACGGGGACACGGATTGGGCGCAGGCGTAGGGGTTGGTGAGAACGTGCGCTGCGCGCTGCCGGGGTGAGACGCGTGATACCAGCGGGGAGCGACGCTCTGGCCGGCCATAGCGCTGTGGGGGCTCCCCGACGATTAGCTTCCACACATCTTCTAGGCCGGCCTGCGAACGAGTTGGACAGCGGAAATGCTTAGCAATTGCCTCATGGGCTTTAATGCGGTGGGAGGAAAGCTGGAATGTCCGGATGCAGAATAAATGGGGGTGGAGGGCTTCATGTCGACGCTGCTGACGCGTGCCTTCCAAGGGTCTGAGACGACGCACAACGCGTGTCTTCCCTCAAAGGGAAGACAACTATGACAAGGCATGGGAGATTTGGCGGGGGGCATGAGCCGTGTGCTTGCTGTGACCTGAGGTGTCCTTGCTTGCAAGCATGCTTGCCTGCAGGAATTGGAGGGGATCAGGAGGGGATCTGGAGCGCCGTGGCACGTGATGCGAGCTGCCGGTGGTGCTGCCCCTGCCTGCGCCTCGGGCCGCGGTCCGTGGTGGGCCCGGAATATGGATCTGCAGGTCAGCGTTAGGATAGGGGGACCAAGGTGTTGTCGAACCTAAGCAGGGCGAGCAAAAGCAGTGTCACTGCGCGGATTGGCTTATACAGGTTGCACGTTTCTTTTGACGCAGCCAGGAATCAGCCATATCTGCAAGAAAGCTGGTGGGAGAGCGGTGCTTGCGCGTCCAGGCTGGCTGCCAGCGGGAGCACATCAAGAAGTTGGCGCAGGGTCGTTCTACTCACCCGTTGATAATTGTAAAGGCGATTTGTCCACCACCTCTGGGGATCTGATGCAGTCTCCCTTTCCCTGGGCGCTTTCGAATTGCCGAAAAATGTCCTCCTGCAGCGAGCCAGCAAACGCGTGAGGGTGGAAAGGTTGTACGCGTCTTTCACCAACGAATTGCCTATGACAAGAATGGCTGCGCAACGTACCAAAATCTCTCACAAGCACTTAGGAAAACCCCCAAGAAGTACGCCTGGAACAGCACACCGCGAACGGCAGCTATAGCTACAAGACGTAGCCATAGCTTTGCCCACAGAAAGCAAAGGTACCAAACAGGGCGGAATGGCGCCAAAAAAAACCGATACAGCATACTCTTGCGGAAGTGCCTGGCGCCTAGAGGTGGTTTTCGGTAACCTTTTGCCCTGGCATGCCATCTAGGATAAATGGTTACGTTGGAGTTTGCAACCATGGTCTTGGATTCCCCTCTTTCCAGCACCTGTCATTTTGTGTTTAGCTGTCAGCTGCAGTTTTCGCGAGTTACAAAGTTGCGTTCAACGAACGCCGATTTTTTGAACGGACATTATGGTATCCAATTGATGCGATGTAATACACAGCTGCTTTTCACTAGCATGATTGTTACGTCAGCGTTAGTTTGGGGGTTCCTGCACGACAAGGCGCAACAGCTGCATAACAGAAAGTCAAGTACATCGCTCATCCATTTCACCGAATTGGAGACAGGTAGAAACTCGGGAACTGAATAGTATCTGCGCAGCCATGCTCTCCTTGCGCCGTTCCCCCTTGCGCACTTTGAGCGTTGGGCCCGGCCGAGCCCGGCTGGTGATCAGGAATGCTGCGTTCGATGTTCGTCCCTACACGCTACGAAAAGGAGACACGCTAGAGAGCATTGCTAAGAAACGCAGTAAGTTCAGCAGGCTGACCTTCCGAGTCATGTCGTTGCTTGAAGCTTCCGATATGTTGCGATTATGCATTCTGATTTGTAGATGTTACTGTGGAGCAAATTCTGGGTATCAATCCCGACTGCAAGCCTGATAACGTCGCGGAGGGGCAGACCATTCTTCTTCCAGCCAACAAGTTATCAAATCGTGATAAGGAAATCCTCAGTGGCATTGGCACTACATACCGTCTGTATCCTGTTCGCGCGGGGGAGACCTTGAGCGAGGTCCTGTCGAAGCGCGGTATCAGCACTGCGGAATTCCTGGCGCTCAACCCCGGCGTTGATATCGCCTCCATTAAAGGTATACTGCACGCTGCTCACACCGCGCTAGATTAGTTGTTGCATAACGTTCGCATCAGAGCCTGCTGTGTTGGCGGTGGAACCTTGGATGCTGTAGCAAGGGCGGCAAACTTCCCCTCGGCGACCCTTGTCCTCTCTCTCCTTCCGCAGACAACCAAGTCGTCAAGCTCCCCATCGATAAGTTCACGGTCCGCGAACGGGAGATGTTGATAGGCTCGGGCATCCTGCCCCCCGAGTTCTTCACGGCCGCCAAGAATCCCTTCGTTATCGGCTTGGGCGGATGTGAGTAGGAACTTCATCGATTGCAGGAGAGGCCATACGTCCATGCATCACCTCTCCTCTCTGCTGCATGCTCTCCGGGGCTGCAGTCAACTACAGCCGAGTGTTAAACGACCCGCAGAACAGCCACGCTCTTCTCTCGGTTGGTTCGGTGGTTAGCTTTATCATCGCCCTGCTTTTCTTCCCCTGACTTCTTCTTGCTTTTTGCCATGGGCTCTTGACGCGGCTTAGGTTTACACACTAAATTATAGACCCTTACACACACACACACGAAACAGTAACTGCGCGCGCACACGTTCAGTTGTTTGCCCGCGACTCAGATCATTCAAAAGGTCACACAAGGTTAGGTCATGCGACGCGAGACATGGCAGTGGCACGCACGTCGAGCCCGTCTAGTGCAGGCAGATCCGTCTGTCTGCTCAGGCGAATTCCCACTCGTCGTGCCGTCGGCCCCCGCCCCCCCGAGGTGCTGCTTACGAGCTCCCTCGGGGTCATGCGTGCCGGCGCCTCGTGCCCTGCTGCTACTCGCACAACGATTGAGCCCTTCCAGGTTTCCCAGTCAAGAGCCTTTGGCTGAGAGAAGTATTATGGGCCAAACAGCTCCGCTCCTACTTTTCATTCACATCATGGGGTGTATACGGGGCATGCAGTAACCACCCTGCACATCAGGCTGCTGGCTGTGCGACCTGCTACGCCCCCCGTGTTCCTGCGCGGCTGCTTTAGGACTGTGAGAGCCGTAGGCGAGGATATCACGCAGTCTCACCATCCGTCTGTGCGTGAGCCCAACCCCCGCATGCTTGAGGCCTGCACGGCTTGCACGTCGAGCGTAATCTCACTCTTTGACCCATTTTCAGCACGTACACTTACGTCTCATTATGTGGCGCCGTCGGCCGCTATTGTCCCTGCCGCGCTTCTGTGCTGTGTCTCGCACTATATCATTGTTTGATGCAGTGATGCTGGTGTGCGGCTTCGTCATGGCGTGGCAGCGGTTCCATTCGGATCCGGACATGCAGGCCACCGACTGAGTACCGGCGGGCTCTAACGGTTTTACTTGGCGATGGCGGCTGCAGCGGCGGTGTTTGGAGACGAGCAGCATCGCCGCGTAAAACCTTGCGACATGAAGGGAGGTGGAGGAGGGGGCGAAAGGGCGGGGGGGAAACAGAGAAAGGAGATGGCGCTGGTGACTCCTCCGGAGGTGGGTTTGTTGAGCCATTTCGCGCCTCTGGCTTCTGACTTTTCTCTCACTGCGGACCTGGAAGCGGCATATCAGTCCGACGTGGAAGACATCCATGATGATGGAAAATACGTAACAATGTTTTTGTCTCATCTGGACGTGTGTCTAGAGCATCATGCATCCTCTTGTCCATGAAGGGGATGCATGTGCTTTTAGGGTTGAAGTCCAGGCGGCGTTTGTGAGTTGAAGCCATGGTTAGGGACCAGGCGTATCTTTTGCACAAAATTGAAACTATTTTGCACAATCTTGGGCGTGTGTCTGATTATGAACTCCACGATGGGCTGGAACTTCCTTCTGTTTCTTGTTTAGTCTGGCGTGGTTAACATATCGTGTCTTTTAGTTGTGTTGGTGGTGGAAAAAATGAAGTATGGGTGGCTGCAGTTGCAATGCGCGAAGAGGTTCTGGAAGGAAAGAGGGCGGGGACGCGGAAGCGTGTCCAGGCCGCTCAGCTGGAACATATGCAGCAAAGTCATTAACGTGTAGTTGTGGCATTTGCGTAGAGCAGTAACTGGACAAGATACGCCGTTCAGCACGTGACTTTGGAGGAGTCCTGTGTGAAGGAATGTGAATGAGCATGGAACTGAACTGTCTCGATCAAGGTGGTGTTTTTACTTTCGGGTGTGCCACCAACCGCGCAAGGTATGCAGATTCCCTCTTTTCCCCACTCCTCCTGCTACATATCTGCCGCATATGCCCACGGAGTTTAATGGCAACTTGGGGCTGGGCTGTCCAGTTCTTTTTGTCAGCTATTGTTGTCGTGGCATGGCAACGACCATACGTCCTGGCTTTTCCTGGGTTGGTTGTCTAATCGGCGGTGTTGGAAGTTCGGCGCGCGGGTTCGGCTGCTTTGCGTTGGGAGGAGAAAAACATGGACACGGCATCTCTGGTACAGATTATCGGTTGTACATAACCCATTTTGAATAAAAACTACATACCCGCGCCTGCCCACGTCTCGACATATAGATAGCTACATTTCCATTGCATTGACATTGGTAAAACCATCTGCTGCCTCGCGTCGCGTGCATGTGAGCATATATACGTACCAATCCTGCAACTGACAGCTAAGTCACTCACTTAAAAATCACTGAAAACGCACAGGCCTGCAACATGTCACCATATTGATACGTTGCGCATCTGGAGTCCTGACATAATCATGTACACATACTCCAATCTTAAGCACAGAGCCTAGAGAACCGTCATCACAATCCGCCTCGCTGCCTCCATAGCACTAACAGGGCAGCAGTGCCGCTCCCGCTGCAACGCTGTAACTGTAACTCGTAAGCCAACAAAGGTCTCAGTTGTCAATCGGTAGTTGTCAGTTGTCCTTGGGCAGGTCGTGCGCCTTGCCCCTGTCGTGCGCCTCACCAATGCCGTCGTCGTAATCTACAGCGCCGTACCCAACCTGCAACACCGGGAACGGGAACAAATCAAAAGTGCAGTCTAGTCCTGGCCGAGCAAAAGAATGCAGGCATTAATTAAGCGCCTCCCCAACCATAGCACTTGGGCACAAACAGGTTTCCTTCATGCATGCAGCTGAATCCGCAGCGCTCACTCTGCCCCCATTCGCCCCTAACTCCCGCGCGCCCCACCTTATCGCTGTCATCACTCCCCATCAATAACCCATCCGCCGCCTCATCTTCATCGTCTTCGTCGTCATCACCACCGTCATCGCCATTGCCGCCCCTGCCGCCGCTCCCAACCTCCTTGTCGGCATCCTCGCCCTCGGACGGCGGCGCGCCTAGGCCCCGCCGCTGCCGCTTAGGTGCTCGCCGCTGGCCGTCCTCCTCCTTCTCGTCCTCGCTCTCCACCTCCTCCTCCTCCCCGTTATCATCATCGTCATCATCATCATCTTGGCTCCTGTATCAAACCGGGCAAGAGATACCAACAGGTACCGTGCTGTCACACACACCACGGGGCCTTACGCCGGAACCTCGGCACGGTGTTCCTTCCATCCCCCCCTTCCTCCTCCCAGGATGGAAGGGACTCCGGATGGGACCGGATGGGAGTCCGGAAGGGACTCCCAGGATGGAAGGGACAAAACCTCCCACTCCCTGCTCCCCAGTAGCCCTGCAAGCACCCACCCCTCCGCCGCCCCGCCGTCTCTCAGCCGCTTCATCAGCTCCACCACCGCCTTCTTGGCCGTCTGCAACACGTCCTTCTCACCCAACCGCACCTGGTTGGGCGGGGTCGGTTGCGAGGGGAATAATAGCATGAGGAGGGTGGTAGCAGGCAGGATGCTAATACGGTATGGCTTACAGGTTCCGGTTCGTGGTCGTCTGGAATAGCAGCACTGGCGGTTAGAGGTGAGGGGTCATGAGAGAGGAGGGGAGCTCTGCGGATACCAGGGACGACACATTCACGTCCTCTTCCTCTTACCATGGAGCGTCACCCCGCCCGGCCCCCCCACCCCGCACCTCAGCCACCCACCCGCACAGCGAGTCGCTGCCTTCCCCTGCACTCGGCACTTCGCAACAGTCGTACGTCGTCCTTGACACTGCTGGGGTACCGCTCCATGCATGACTCCAATATCTGAGGGGGTTGCGCAATCGCGGGTAGGCCGGAGACCGAGGGCGAAACCGAAAGGCGAGGGGGAATGGAGGGAGGAACGAGTTAAAAGGGAGGTTGTCGTGCTAGGGGTGGAGAAAAGAGGTCGACGCCTGACCGGCACTGTCGCCACCGCCAACCCCCCACCTCAGGACGTTTCAAGGGTTCGGAAACATACACTGAAACACACGCACACGACATACTACTACACGTACCTGCAGCGAGGCGATGCACACCATCTCAGCAAAATCCTCATCCTCCTCCAACAACGCTGTGCCTAGAGACAGCTTCTTGTGGGGCTGCGAAGGAGTGTTGTCGGAGTCCCCCGGCGCTGCTGGTGCTGCTGACGTGGCGGCCGCCTTGCCGCCGGCCTTGGCGCCCTTGCCCGCGGCCTTCCTAGCGGCCCCGGGAGCCGGACGGCCCCCGGGGGTCGACTTGGGGTCGCTGCTCCCGAACTCACGTCTCAGTTCCTGGAACTCGTCCTTGGTCATGAGCAACACCTGGACACAGGAGAGGTGACACAGCGACCCGCGGGTCGGCGGGATACCGCACATTCACACAGGATTTTCTTTTGCCCGCTATGCATCAACACATCGTCGGTGTGATGGCCTCAGCGCCATCTCCTTTTCGCGACACAAAGGATTTCTTAGTACACATGTGCGACATCGTACCACGTACCAATGTCGCTTCCTTCCGTCCCTTCCCTTCCCATACTAAGGTAATGGAGCCCCAAGACCGCTCAAGTTCCAATATCTATCCATCCGTACGGCACCTGCCATGAGCACCGACGACCATTAGTACGGCATCAGGGGGCAAAGACTGCCAGTACGGCACCTGCCTGCTTACGACCCGAGTGTACAGCCTATGGCACACCTGTACGGCCGTCATGAGCTCGTCCGGCAGCGGCTCCTGCGCCAGCAGTACGAACTGCGTCGCCTCGGGCGCGGCGGACTGCAGTACACCGGCGGCCGCCAGGAAGTCGCGCTTTGATCGCCGAAGTGCTGCGGGGAGTGCCTGCTGGTTGCAACCAGGTGATGGCGTTGCCAGCAGCAGCGGGAATAACCGTGGCGGCGGCGGCGGCGGTGGTGGTACCCGGCACGCGGCACAGGAGGCGAAGGCGGAGATTCTCAGTAGGTGGGTGGCACGGAACCTTAGGCGGTGTGTGGCAGCATGGACCCCCCCCAGGGGGATGAAGGGGGGAAGGTGAAGTGGGTATCTGCACCATGCACCAGGATGGGGGGAAGAGACCCCCCCGTCTAGAAGTACGTGTTTTCCTTTCCCCATCCCGCCGTTGCCCCTTCATGGGCTGCCGCCTCCAACAACCCCCCTCTTTCCTTCCGCCCGTCCTCTATTCCTTATAACCACCCCGCAGTGTCCATGCCGTAGAGTCCATGGCGCTGTCGTTCTTATCCCCCGTACTCCCTCCCCCGCCCTCCACCCCGTCGCGGCGCCCTCCTCCCGCCCTCCCTCTCGCCCCCTAGGCCCACCTGATCCATGGATTTCAGCAATCCAACGCACACCTCCTCAACCGCTGTCCAAGGGACCAGCGCCGCGTTGTACGGATTACGATATCCGTCGCCGCCGCCGCCGTCACCACTGGCGCCGGCGGCGGCGGCAGTCTGGTTCCCGCCAGCATTGGCTCGCTTCTTGGGCGAGGGCCCTACACTGGTGGCGAATTGCGCCGGGAAAAAATCGTCTTCGCTGTCCAAAAAGCCGTACGTTTGGAGCAGCTGCGCATCTGACAAATTGCCGTACGTGTGCAGTACCTCCTCGCCGGCCTTGATGGGCTTGTCTGTAGAACAATACGGGAAGAGACGGAAGAGATCCGCATACCAGCTGGAAGCGCTTTGCAGGTGTGGACAGGAACACAAAAACATCCAAAAGATAGGCCGGCAGGAGAAGACGGCCAGGCGGACAGCCAGTTAAATCAGAAACACAGACGACATACAGACAGGCAAATAAACACGTCCCAACGCACCCCCGGTCGCGCACACCTGCGCGCATGACGAAGAACGCCTCCACGCCCCGGACGCCAACCCCCTTGGCCCCCTCCCTCGCGTCCTCCTCCCCCGGCTCCCTCTCCAGCAGCTTAGCCGCCGCAGCTTGAGCCACATTAAGGCGCTCCAAGTGGGCGTTACGGCGGTCCGGGTTGTGCGAGTGGTTGATCATGTCGATACCGGGCAACAGAAACACCTGGGTGCCGCCATTTTCTAAGTGGGCGATCTGAAGGGGACCGTCACAAACCACCAAGATAGCGAGGGAGTGAGGAAAGGAAGTGAGGAAAGGGAAGGGGGGGGGACAACACGGAAACTCGAGGGGGTAAAAACACCGTGCCGTCCTAACAAACGCCGCCCCAGCGCGGACCCCACAGCCCGCTCCGCACGCTCCCACGCATCCAGACAAAACACATCCCTTTCCTCTCGCCTCTGCCCTTGGCATCCCCTCCCCCCGACTTCCTCCCTCCCACACACACACACCCTCCTTACCTCCTTCGCACCAGACACCCAGTTCTCCGCCTCCAGGTGGAACGCCCGGCTCTGAACCAGCCCGGCAGCACGGGCAAACGCCGCCAGACCGGCATCCAGCGTTGCGCCTGTCGCCTCCGCCGCCGGCGGCTCCTTGGCCGCCAGTCCCGGCCAGAGGTCTGTACGACAGGCCAGTATGGGCGCCACGTGGCGGCGGTACACATCCACGGCGGGGTCGGGTCCGGATTGCTCCAGGGATGTGCCTGAGACCCGTATACGGAGAGGGGGAAGGTGGAAAGAGTGGAGGGAAGGTGAGAGATGGGGTGAGGCAAGGACGTGTTGTGTGAACACAGTCACGAGGCACCCCGTCCTCCAGGGTGAATGTGCTCATCCTCCAAGGCATGCAAGTCAATCCCTCAACCCCGCCCACCCACACAACCACCCACACAACCACCCACACAACCGCATATTCTTCCCGATGCACACATACCTAAGCTACACACCAAATTGCAAACAGGTCTTGGACGTGTTGCTTACTTAGGTTTTACCTTTTGCGCTTCTGCGCACCTTTCCAGCTCCCTTTAGCAAATACAGACACACATACATGCACACACATACATGCACACAAACACATGCACGTGCACACGTATGCACACATACATACATACATACACGCATACACGCATGCACATACGAACGTAAACGCACCCTTGAGCTCCAGCTTCTCTTCCTCAGTCCAGTTGAGAAGACAGTCGGGGCAACTGGCCGGCAGCGTGGCCACGTAGGCGGCCCAGGGGGAGACTGACCCGCGGGTCATTTCGGACATGAGGACCAGTGTGGTGGCCAGGAAGGGGCTGAGACCCGGATGGGCCTCCCGGAGGTATCGTACGGCATCGGGGAAGTCATTGGGGTGCCTGTGGGCATGGATGCGTGACGGGGGGAGAGAGGGTGGTGCGGCGGGGGAAGTGAGGACTGAGGGTTTTCGCGGTGTGCTTTCTGGCTGAAGGTGGTGTTGGTGAGGTAAGGAAAAAAGGGTGTGGCCGGGTCAGGGTAAGTCGGCAATACTGCAAGTGCTCGCTGCATGGGTTATGGCGTGGAATCTGCCACCTTAGAAACAAGCGAAGAGGGACTGGGAGGAGTTAGGGTGCTTACGGTGGAGTGGAGTGGGTCATACACCTATGTGCCAAGTTAGGTGCGCATGACTATGACATTGTGTGTATGCGTGTGGGGCCAACGCACATAGGAATCCGATTTCAGTTGGGTGACGATGAAGTCGTGGGTTGGGTTGATGCCAGGAGAAATGCGAAGTTTCTGTGTCGTGTACGGCACCTTTCCCAGGTTGAAACCCCTCCCGTGGTAGGCAGACAGCCCTCCCGACAGGATGGACCTAGACTGCAGAAGCATTGTCGTGGTACTATACAACTTTGTGCACTGCAGCTTAGCAGCGCAGCCGCCGCCACTTTTAAGAGCACCCACAAAAGCAGCTTCAACCTATGTGCACGTACTTTTTAAACTCCTCGTCAGTAGGGATATAGATAGCGCAGTCAATTGGCAGGAGGAGCAAAAGCTCGCCTTCAGCAATGTCGCTTCGCGCGATAACTCCTCTATCTCCAGACGGCAAAGTATGAAACAAGTCAAGTTCAGGGTGAATCCGTCCACCTCTGCTGCGTAACCATGGCGGGAAATCCATGGCGTTGCCCTTTGCTGTTTTTTTCGGAAAAGCGTTTCGGGAAGTGGGCTTAGGAAAAGAGCTTCTATATTAATCCTATACAACCATCAGGCAACAAAAACGTTACGTACCAAAATGCATGTTGCACAGATGACTGTTTCATCCTCTACCAGCCATATCTTGGTTCATCGTCGACGCTGTACGGCACTAACGATTGCAACGACCTCTTCGCTGGCAGACTGTTGCGCATGGGAACACATTTCACAGCATCTAGCTGTACTTCCAATTAGTTGCTTTCTGCTTTCCATCAGTAACGATCGGATAACTTTTGAGCTCTAGTCTCGCAATGCCACGCCAGCCACGTTGTCACAAGCGCCAAGGCAGCGATTGTGACGTTCAAGCTCCCTGGATTGATACAACGAATTTAACCTCGACGGACCAGCCAGTAGTTTCGCCCATCGCTGCAACTGTCAGCTCTGTTTGTTCAACCCGGTCTGGCAAGGCGAATGAGCAACAGCGGATTACCATCAGCAGAGAGAATAGTCAGTAAGTTACGCATGAATGCCTGGAAATGCGTTGGCTTTATTTCAACCATATCGGTTGTCTGAGAAATGGTCCCAAGCTTCTCCACGCACTGTTGCAGAAGCCCAGCAAATGCAGGCCTGATAACATCACCGGGTAAGTTATATGCATGGGTGCTATGGGCTAACGACCCCTCTTTGCTTTCTGCGAAGTCGTGCTCCGCGGCTGAACCCGGCAACCGTCAGCGTCGGTCCCACAGTTAACGCATGTTCTGCATTTATAATCACGAGGTCTTATGCAGGCAGCGACGATGGAACGTCATCGTTGAAGGAAGCCGTCATGGGCTTTCGCGGAATGAGGGTTAAAGTGAAATTCACACGGACGCACATCTCCTGGAAGCCAGTCAATCCAGTGGGAGGATGCTGCGTGGACCGACGCTCCTTGGTAAAAGCAGGTGCGCCTGGTTGAGCTTGGCCCAACCCGCCGGCCCTCGACCTTCCAGGAGCGCCGTTCGCGTCATCACACAATAAAACGAGCACCTGCCTCCCCAGTTAAGGCTTAGGCAAGCAGCGAAAAAAACCCAAATCAGGGGGAACGAAAGCTGCATTTTTATGGGTCCTGAACTTTTCGGCAAGGGGCCCCAGGCCTCCTTCCGCTAAGGCATTTCCTGTGCTGTGTACACACCTGAGGAGCCGGCTGGCTGCCCCCGCGAGCCTACAAACATGTGTGGCACCGAAAAACATGGCACACTTCCTCTTCCTCTCTCTCTCTCTCTCTCTTTTTCTCTCTCTTTCTCTTCCTCTCTCTCTCTCTCTCTCTCTCTCTTTTTCTGTCTCTCTCTTTCTGTCTCTCTCTTCTCGCCCTCTTGTCCCATGTCCTTTGGCATCAGATGCACCTGCGCAACCAAAGCATGAAGCTCCGGTTCAGGTCGAGTCACAAACTTCGGCGGTTTGTGTGCCTTGGCTGAGGGGCCCCTGGCCAGTTTAGGCCATGATGCGGCATCCCCGACGCGCAGAGAACACCTTGCTGCTGCCCCCTCTCCGTGTGTTATCGGGTGCTCGCAGTTGCGCTGGACGAAATCCTGTCGGCCATGCTGCCCAAGCCGGACTGCTGCCCCCGACTGGGCTGCACGGTGGGTGGGGAACTGGGTGGAGGTTCATAGCGGGCTGCGTAGTGTTGGTGCTGCAGCCGCGGGGCCATCTTCTTCTCCTTCTCTTCCCCCCCCCTCCTCCTCCATCGATGCAAATCTGCTGCATCACACCAACTCCGCTGCCTGATCCCCAGCCTGAGGGCCACATAATCGCCCCCCACCGCGGACCATGCAAGTGTACATCTCCCTAAATCGGCACACTGCAAAAGCCATTTCCTGATCTCCTGCGTGCAAATACGAAATTTACACACACGCGCACGCGCACGCACACTCGCAGGCTCGCGAGCACAGCTTTGTGATCCACACCTTCTCCCGCAAGGGGCCTAGGTGCCCGAACACATGGCGTCTGGAGGAATACGTGTTGTCCACCAACACGCCCGAGGTGGCGAAGGAGTGGGTCAACGCCATCAAGCAGCGAGTGCGAGACATACGTGACAGGCGGGTGGCTGGGCGTAGTGAGGTAGTAGTGGTTGGGGTTGCGGGCGGGCCAGTGTCAGGTGGGGAGGTGGTTTCGCCCAGCCGTACGTCTCAGGGTCCGGGCCCCGCTGTCCGCTCGACGCACCCAACGCAATTTCGCTGAATTGTTGAAGTAAGTTTACGAAGCATTTCCTCACTTGCATTTCCATGAATTTCTTTTTCGCGGGCTTCCTGCGTTTATCCTCTCCACCTAGTTATCAATTTGTGTTTTTTGCTTTTTGCTTTTGGATCCTGATGGATTTCTTGCAGGCCTCGCAGTCTGCTGGTGTTCATAAATCCTTACGCAGGTGCTCGCCTGGCCCGAATAACATGGGAGCGTTACGCTCTACCAGTGTTCCAGCGAGCCGGTATCGTCGTGAGCGTCTTGGAAACCACCAATCAGGTGCGCTCCCAGAGGCCTAGTTTTCCAAATACGCGGGTCAAAGCTGAGGCGTGTGTGTGTGTATAGGGGTGTAGGGGGTTCAGGGGTTCAAGGGAGGGGGAAGTAGGGCATGGAAAAGGTAAATACGCAGCGTGAGAGCGTATGCAGCTCGCAGCTGGTAGCCGGTGCTTCAAACTTGTCCCGCCAATTCAACAGTTGATCTGCGGGACATATTTAGATTTACCTCGTGATGAATCCACTTATGCCGTACAGGATCACGCGCGGGATACGCTCGAGCTGATGAAGTCTGAGGAGCTGGCGGGATACCAGGGGTTAGTGGCGGTGGGGGGAGACGGCTTGTTCCAGGTGAGCTGCTGCGGAAGGAAGGAGCTGGGGGGGGTTGGGGGCGTGTTTTAGAAAGGGAGGGAGGGAAAACGCTCGCGAAGGCCCAACTCCGCGCAAGCGGCCCCCAGCGATTACCTGGTAGTGGAAGCGAAAGACCAGCAATGGGGGAGCTCCGTTGGAAGGGCCAAAAGGGGCCGCAGTGCTCAGCTGGCTGGCTGGCTGGCTGGCTGGTTTGCAGGAGGACAGACCTCGGGAAAGACGTTGAATGATATTGGGTTATGGGGGTGCGGGTGCGGGTGCGGGTGCGGGTGCGGGTGCGGGTGCGGGTGCGGGTGCGGGTGCGGGTGCGGGTGCGGGTGCGGGGCGGCAAGCTTGGGGGGAACCCCGAATTCAACTCTCCTTCCCTGACCCACATCGCTACCTCTCATCCCATGGCACAAGTTTCCCTTGCTATCTCACCTCGCACACGATACCCGGCCGGCCCAACCCGAAACTGCCAGGAAGTGGTGAGTGGGCTGCTGGCGCGAAGGGCCCGGGGCGACACAGCCGCATTTAAAATTCGAGTGGGCCACGTTCCCGCGGGGAGCACCGACGCAGTGGCATGCACGTAAGTGTATCAGGCTCTGGCGTATGACGTGACACCGACCCGTGGGTCTTTCTTACCCCCCAATCTCTCTTTATCTCGTGCGAGCCAACTCCCTCAGAGCTTCTCTGCGGAGGTGCTCAGTGAGCTCCGCAGTCCGTTTTTGTGGTGACAGCGGAATCACCTCAATCACCTTGCTTTGACTCTTACCCTACCCCGTCCCATGTTCGGCTGCTCCTCAATCTGCTCCTTCCTCGGAGCCCTCGTGCGCCGCATCGCAGCCTTCCCTCACACCTTCCCTTACACCTTCCCTTACACCTTCCCTTACACCTTCCCTCACACCTTCCCTTACACCTTCCCTCACACCTTCCCTTACACCTTCCCTTACACCTTCCCTCACACCTTCCCTTACACCTTCCCTTACACCTTCCCTTACACCTTCCCTCACACCTTCCCTTACACCTTCCCTCACACCTTCCCTTACACCTTCCCTTACACCTTCAATTACACCTTCCCTGGCCTGCCCCGCACTGCCCAGCCTAGCCTTGCTCAGTATCCAGATCCGCCGCCGGTCCGCCCTTTCACCCGTCGCTCTCTCTTTCCCCGGGCCCGGCTGCTCCATGGGCCCTCGCCCGCGGGCCCCCACCCCGACCCGACTTAGCCCCTCGTCCGCCCCTTGCCCCGACCTCCCCTCGTTATTGGAACCCCCCTCCGCCTCCGCCTCCACTACCACCACCACCGCCATCACCACCACAGGCTGCACGGCTCTCGTTGCGCCACCACTGCCGCCCTGCACATCGCCCTGGGTGACCGGCTCTCGCTGGACACGGGGCGGGTGGAGGCGGCGGACGGCTCCAAGCGCCATTTCGTGTGCCAGGCGGGTTACGGCTTTATGGGCGATGTGATGCGCTTCAGCGAGCGGCTGCGATTCTTGGGGCCCAGCAGGTGCGTGAGATGGACTTGGTGGCCGCGACAGCAATTAGGACAATAACAGTGTTTAGTAGCAGCAACAATAACAGCAGCAGCAAGAGCAGCAACAGCATCCTTGTGCAACAGCAGAAGCAACAGCGACAGCGGGGACAACAGCAACAGAAGTCCAGCCGGATCAAAAACGACAGGATAAAATGCGCATCAGTCGGATCACGCGAACCTGAATAGGTGGCATGCTGGGCGTGCTATGGGTTGAACTCTTAAGGTCCACCTCGGGGTGGCCTTGGGGTTCACGGCCTTTCCGCATCCTTTATGTGTGTGGGGGCGGCCCCCACAGCAACCCAACGATCAACACCACAGCCAACGGCACTATGGCTTTGCCGACCTAGATAAACCCCGGGGCATCACCCCTGATGAAAAATGACTTTTGCCCGTCTGCTGGACTTCGGGGCCCTGCGTGGGGCTGTGGGGATGCCGTACGATGTAGGTACGATTTCACGGGAGCACTGCAATATATGCGCTTGGCCAGCTACCGAGTGAAGTTGTCGTACCGCGAAGCGCCTTCCACCACCGCCGACGTGCAGCAACTTTGTACGGCGCAGTGCGAGGTTTGTCGTATGGCAGGTATGGCGTACCTCTCTCCATATGGGTATTTCTCCGACGGGGATATTGGCATTTAAGTTGTGTATGGTGGTCACCTGTTTTGTTCGGATGAGCATGTGACGTTAGTAGCGATGAATGGGAATCGTAATGGGCAAAATGCAAAAAAGGTAAGTTTTGCCGGCGGCTGGAAAGAGGAGAGCGGAAGGTCGAGGCGTGCTTCTAGAGCATCGGACACGCGAAAGAGTCAATAATAATCATAATGACAACCGTTGTACGACATGTACGGCATGGTAAAGTCTCAGTGTATGATACTCTGATGTTTTTGTAACCCCTGATATTCGACGTCGCCGCCACACCGCTCCCGCGAGTGTCCTTAGCTTCAGTCAACAGGGAACTCCGCCGGCGCCTTGCGTGGTGGCCTGGGCGTGCCCACACGTACATCTACCCCATCAATTTACAAAGTCATGAGTAGATGGACGTCGTCATCCTCCTCACCTTGCTGCTGCTGCTGCTGCTGCTGCTGCTGCTGTCGCCACTGCCACTGTGGCCACCTACTATGGATGTCGAACTGCAGGGATTCGCATGCAGGCCGCTGTGCCTTTCCACCGAGCAGGCGCTGCCGCCGCCAGCCCCGGACCATTCGGCGGTCCCGGACCCGGCGGCGGCGGCGGCAGTAGCGTCAGCATCAAGGTCGGCGGCGTCAGCCCGCGCGCTGCCAGCGGCGCCAACGGCGCCGGCCAAGGCCTTTTCCGTTCCTCTCCCACGCCGGCCGCGGCCGCGGCGGCGGCCGCTTCCTTCGCCACCAACACGGCAGACTCGGCACCGCCGTCGGGGTCGCTCGGGCCTGTCGGCACGCCCGGCGGCGGGCCGACCGGAGGGATTTCCGTGTGGGAGAGCTACGGGGGAGCCCACGACGGCGACTGCTCTGCCGCTGGCGTTGGCGGCAGCGGCACGTTTTTCCGTGTTTCCAACTCGGCGGCTTTGGGACAGGCGCTGCCGCCGGCGGCGTCCGCGGGTTCCCTTGTGGGGGAGCGACCAAGCCTGAGTCAAGTGCCGCAGTCGTCCGCTCCACATAGCTTGGACGTCTCCGCCGCCGACGGCGGAGGCGGCGGTGCGGACGGAGGCATTTCGGAAAGCAACACGCCGGGCAAGCTTGCCACTGCCGTCAGTGCCTTCACCACGACGGCAGCCGCGGCGGCAGCGGCAGCAGCGGCTGCCTGCGGTGGCGGCGGCGCTGCCGTGGCCGCCGCGCCCGCCGGCGGTGATCCTTGCAAACAAAAGGACGGGGACGGTTGGACTTGTGCGGATGGGGAGTATGTGTCCATCATGTGCGTCGTAACTCCCTGTCGGAGCGACAAGAGCAAACGAGGTGCGACCGCAACCCCGCATTCGCCCTTGCGTTCCGTCCGTACTTCATACTTTGTATATACATACGGATATATATACTATATATATACTATATATATAGTATATATATAGTATATATATACTATATATATACTATATACTATATATATACTATATACTATATATATACTATATATATACTATATACTATATATAGTATATACTATATATATACTATATATATACTATATATATAGTATATATATAGTATATATACTATATACCGCCGTCGGTCGTACGGTGTAATCAACTTTCAATATATATAGTCCATGGCCTCCCGGCTTTGACGGACCCCCCCGCACTCGTGCGGCACTTGTAACTTGTAACTATACGGTAAAGCATTCCGCATTTTAGCGACTTGGCGTTCTGGCGATTAAGCAATGTTCACATCTTGGACACGCGGAAGACATGAGTGCATGAGTCCTACACCACCATCTGCTTGCGCAACCTGTCAACCCCCTGCCCAAGCTTCCCTTCCGCCTGGTCCTCTCTCCCCTTCGTCTTCCGCGCCTCCCCAACGTTTTCACGTGGTCTGCTGCTGCTGCTGCTGCTGCCACCCGGTTCTCTCCCCTCCGGTCCACAGGTATCATTCCCAACGGCCATCTGTCCGACGGGCGGATGTACCTGGTGCTCGTGTCCAAGTGCTCCCATTTTGACTTTTTGCGCTTCCTGGTGCGGCTGTCTACGCGAGGCCTGGTGGACCGCTGCCTGCCCTTCGTGCGGGTCGTACCCGTCACAGCACTCAAGCTCACGTGAGGGCGGGCTGCGAAGAGGGGCCGGGGTGTGAAGAAGGGGGGTGTTAAGGGGGGGCGGGTGGAGAGGGCGGGTGATGGAGTAAGGCCGCCGGGCCCTGGTTGTGAGTGTACATGGGCGGGTTGTGGGGCGGTGTCAAGGTGCCGGTTGGCTGGGGACCCTCCCTGCTTAAGTCCGGCTCCTTTCCGGCCCTGCATCCCACCTCACCCCACCTGGTTTGGCCCGCAGTCCACTGCAGGGAGGTCACCGACTGGGCGGCTGCCTGGCGGACCCGGACGCGGGGGAGAGCGCCTGGAACGTGGATGGTGAGCTGCTGGCCAACAACGACGTGACCATTAACGTGGCGCGCGGCGCGTTGGAGGTGTTTGCGCGCGGCGTGGAGACGGCAGCAGGCGGCTGAGAGGGAGGGCAAGCGGCGGGGACGGCAGCGGCGGCGTGGTGGCGGCGGCGATGAGGGCGTGCGGCGGCGGCGACAGTGGTGGGGCGAACTGTTTTCAGGACGAGGAAAAAAAGG